CATGGAGAAGTCGTTGCCTGCTGAAGCGGCGCTCTTGATCCCCAGGGCCGTGGCCACGCAAGCGGAGGCTGAGGAGGCCGAGAAGGCCGCGATGGAGGCTATCCGCGGGGACATTAGCCTTCCTGACATTGGCCAGGAGGACAGAGAAACGGTTGATCCTCACACTGTGACGACTGAGGACTTGACGGCGTCGATAGACGCGTTGACAAGGAAGCTGAGCGACATGCCCGGTTGGTCGGGTAACTTGCTTGATCCTGCAAAGTCTGCTGAGCTGGTTGCGGCCAGACGGGGCGGGAAGGCGAGCTATGACAAGCCTGAAGCTCCTCTTACCGAGGCTGGGATGAAGAGTGCATCGCTGGAGGATCGAGCTTATGCCCTCTCGCAGCTGAATGAGATGGTGAACTTTCACAAGAAGCATTTGTGCTATGGACGAGGGGCGCCATCGCTAAGTGCGAGCGCTCCCACCGAGCCCTTTGCGCCCGGCCAGATTGACACGAGCAGGAAATTCCGCCCGAGCGATGCGGCAAGCAAGATGACGTACAATCTCGTGGTTCTAGACGGAAAGAAGGACTATCTTGCCGATAGGCAGGAAATCAATCCGGATCTGCGATCTTCTGGAGTTGTGCCTGATGAGGCTAGCGCGTGCCAGATTGTGGTCCCCTCAAAGAGTAGGTTGAGCGAGTACGTTCCGGGAGTTGATGAAGCTGCTCTCGTGCGATTTCGAGGGTTTGGTCATTAACTCAAAAAGAGTCTCGGAGTTATTCGAGGAAAAGGTGTTGAAGGAGACCGGACGAGAGGCTGGAAATTGGGTAAGTATTGACCAAGCCGTCTGGTTCCTGAGAGAGATCACGGGTATGGAGAATGCCGAGATGACGTGGAAAGTCTTCATTCCGGCGATAAAGGCTTTCCCGATAAGACAGGTTGAGGTTATGCTCATGATCATGTATGATGAGAATGGCATCCTCCTCAGGGAATGCGCCAGGTTGGTGGCCGTTAGGTACACGCGGATCGGACGGGACATGAGTTTCAGTTCTGTGAGGCAAAGGTACACTCAAGAAGATGCACCTGGCGGATCTCTGATGTATGAGATGCACTGGAGTGAAATTCCTATGGCTGGGATATGTCGTGATGAAGTTCTTGGACTTCAGGAAGGCGGTCCAGCTCCAAAAGGTGAGGCGGAATGGAAAGGCCATGATCGAGATATTGATCACAAGGCCCGATGAGTACGAATCGATTGGAGATGGGAGGCCGGATTAGACCCTGGTTCCAATTGTGGAGACTAGACAAATGCCGAGGTGTCGCCTTCGTGGTACGTCAGGGACAGGCTGCGGAACTACTCAGGTAGGTTCGTGGTGGTCATGGTGGACCTTCGAGTACATTGGTCGCTGGTTGGACCTGTGTTTCTGACGAGGAGGAAGACTCTTGCCGTTCGGAACGAGATCCACATGGGTGCGTGGAAGGCTGCATACATGTTCGATGATTACACGATAGTGTATCATCGGGCTTGGGACTACGGTGACTTCACTCCCGATAGGGGGGAGCACAAGCGGACGCGTGCGGAAGTCAGGTTGAGTGTGACCAGCACCTTCTGTTTGCGGTGCGCGGAGATGACGCCATCTGGGATGCATTTGTGCCCTGGGCGTGCGCTCCCGGTCTTCTACCCGAACTTCATCCCCAACGCGGACGAAGATGACTTCGTGGGGTGCCGCATCGTCCCGGACTGGGTGAAGAGTATGGGACAGTTCAAGCCCAAGAGAATCGCCTCCAATGTGGTCGGGGTTATCAAGAGGAACTTGATTTCCTACTCGATGGCGTCTGACCTGAGGATGACGGTGCAAAGCGGCATCCGGCTGCCCCCTTATCTTGGTGAGGACAAGGGAGGAGTCGATGCGGCGTGGGATGAACTGGCAAAGGTGCTCTTTCAGTTCTCCTACGTGTCGGGGATTTCGGCATCGGATGCATTCGTGGAAAAGTGGGTGGCGCAGCACCTGATCAAAACCAACCAAGTCGATAGATTTGAGTCGGTGACTGAGTACTTCCGAGCGAACCCAATGCATGCGGCCCAGTGGGGAAGACGTATGACGACTTCCGTTAGGAAGTTCGCCCGTCGTGACACGTATTTGTCCTTCTATATTTCGATGGCGTACGTGATTGGTGCTGCGGCGGGTCATCTGACTCCCTTGTATCCGACCCACAGGAAGGACGTGGACATCCTGGCGAGCCATGCATTGATAGCGGATCTCAGGAAGTACATGGTCACAGCGACGGGGTACGATGAGAAGAAGAGATTGAGGGAGGCGGTAGCCAAAGTGCAGAAGGCAATCAATGCTGGGCAATCAGAGCCTCCTGCCCCTTTCCGTGACCCATTCGTCTACGTTAGTGACGAGAGGGTGAGGACGGTTCTTGATGGTCGTCAACCGGAGCCGTTGAATGTGAACATTGACGAGCTCCAATCGGTGCATCATGCTGCACAGGGTCCTGGTCCAAAGCAGGAGCCGATCATCAAGGGCGGGAAAGGAAAAGAGAAGAAGGGTGCGGTAGTCCTTCCGGCCCACCACCGAAGTCAGGCGACGTGCCAGGAAAAGGGTCTGGTAAGGGCGATAGCCCATCTGTTCCGAAAGCAAAAGCCAAGGCTGATGCTGGGCCGGCTCCGATGGAGGTTGATACACCTGCGGTTCAACCGAAGAAGACTTGGGTCGCGATAGCGGTTGAAGGAGCCCGACCAAGTGCGAAGGCTAAGATAGCTCTGGTCCCGAAGGCCGAGCCGAAGGGAAAGGCAGCTCCAGTTTCTGAGGCGAAGAGTGCTCCGGCTCCGAAGGCTGAGCCTAAGGAGACGAAGCAGGCCGACCCGAAGGTTGATGTCAAGAAGGAGAAGGTAGGCGGAGACGACGCTCCCGGCGGTTCGGGGGTCGGCAGAAGGACAGAAGAGAGAAAGGAAGTCCCGTTGGGATCCCGATGAGACTGTGAAGGAGTCGACAAAGCGGGAGGCATCAACGAGACCTGATGATGTTGACAGCAGGCCAGGTGCGGCAGCCAGAGAGGCAAGTGGAGATGATCTTCACTCCGCGCTTGGTAGGTCTTCGGTAAAGGACGCGGTAGCGCCTTCGACGGCCTCCAAGGCAATGGCGAAGAAGCCTGAAGGGAGTGAGATCAGGTTGCAGTCGGCGGAGCGAGCTGCTGCAAGCTCGATGGAAGGTCATTTCCTGGTGTTGCCGGAGAGTTCGGTGGTGGACACCTTCCTGTCGATTTCCTCCAATAGGGTGCTGAATAAGCAGGTCAGAGATTTCATCAGGAATGGTGAGAATGCTTCAGCACTGGAGGCTCTCAATCAGATCGTGACGAACTCTCGCCTTGGGAGAAGGCGTCGGGATTCGGATGTTTCCCGCACTCCTTCTCGGAGGTCCGTTAGGACTGTGGACACCAGGGATTCCCGAGAGTCGAGAAGGCGCAGATATCGTCCGCGGCGTGACGAAGATTGTGACCGGAGGAGGGACGATGCTCCAGATCGTCGTGATGATGACTCGCTCGATCGGGAGCGGGATCGAAGGCGAGATGATCGCAGGAGATCCGAGAGGGATCGTGATAGGGACCGTGCGCGGGGCGGACGTGACCGGAGGAGACGTGACGATAGCCGATAGGCTGAGTCACGAGGGTTGCGGCCGATAGGCTTGCGTCCATTCTCCGATGGTCGGCGCGGTGCGGAGGTGGTGATGTTCCTCCCGAACCGCTGAGGCGCGGAGATCATGTCTCTCCCGTACCGCTGCTCGGCTGCTGGTCGTGCTCATCATGAAGTAGTGTGAGTGAGAGGGGAAGGATAGCAAACTGGTGGAGGATACTCCCAGGTTTGCGGAATTCAAGCATTTTTCAGGTACGCATGGTCAGGGGAACCTCTTGCCGATAGGCGAGGGTACTGATGAACATACGTTATCCTTTGTTTCATGGCTTCTGATAAAAATTGAACTACTTGCATTGTTGATGCAAACAGTTGTGGCCTAGTGCCGTCATGTGGACTCTTCCACAAGGTATGTTGGACAGCGTTACCCCGATTAATTCGGGGTGGTGGCGGGAATTTAATGCCCGGGATGTCGCGCAACTGCCTCTGTGGGTTTGCTCCACCGCTGACGGCGGTAGTGTCCAGCTGTTTGCGGACACATGCGAGCAGTTAAATACTATCAGTAAATGGCACGCTCCACCCGTCATATGACGGGCTCCTCGTGAGGGGGGTGTGATTAGCCATGGTTCATTTCATCATCAGGGACGTCGCGGTTGTGACTGACCTGTGAAAGATTTATGGGTTCCGTCGCGCCTCAAATGGGCGTCGCCGAACCCCTGCGTCGACCGACGACATCTCGGGGGAGAAAGAGACCTCGGGCCGCCGTCAGGTTGGTAGGGACCATTCGTGCGGCCTGTTGTCGGTCAAGGTTGCGGGTAACTCTTTTATTTGTTTTGGTTGTTGTTCTCTGGTGTGTGGGAAACCCTGATCTTTGGGACCGGGGATTGGTTTGCTTTTGGGGAACCTTTCTTTTGTGGCTTGTTTACCCCAACTTACCCATTGCCTGGGCACAGGCTCGTGCCCGAATCACAGATACTAATAATAGTAAACATAGTTCGACTAACAATCACACCACACATGATAATACTAATGGTAATAATGGAACTAACAATCATAATGATAATCATAATAATCATAATAATAACCGTAATAATTCATAGCAATACCAATATATATACGTATATATGTATATACATGTATAATACAACAGTGCTACAATACATCCTAGTTTGATTGATAGTAAGACTAGCGAGCAAGAGCTGAAACTCAGACAATCAACTGCTGTGCCATTCATTTTTTGTTACATAGCAATGATTTTGACCTCACTTATCGTCCACATCAGCTGCTGCTTGCAAGCGTAGTGCAGATGCTGAAACTGAGGGAATGCAGATGTTTGAAGTCGGCACGCTTTGTTGGCTCACAATCGCAGCAGCAGTGAGCACTGCAGGAGACCAGAGCAGATGTGGTCTCTCTTGCGGCACCAAGCAGCGCAACTCACGAGGCCAGCTGGACATGAGCTCGATTCTAGCAGATTCACAATGCATTTGTGCCATGTTTACAGATTGTGGAGAGCTTGTCCACCTAGTACTTTTTCAAGAAGATACCTGCGCTAAACATCAACATGACAACACTTATCATCAGGAAATTCCCGCCCGAGTGGACAGGCTTTGTGCACACTATGAATCCCACACCTCCATGCGGCTAGACGCCAAATTTTGAGGTTGTATCGTAGAAGGCCAGGTATTCATTGGGCTTGCTTCTCTGCATTTATAGCTGCTTTCACTTTTCAAGGGAAGAGGTAAAAACAAGAATCAGTCGACACAGAAGCCAACATGTATGGAGGCAGTTGGTCACCCGTGGCGATAGTATTGGAACATTTTGGATAAAGCTTGAGCTGGAAGTGTCTTGAACTTCTTCAAAAGTGGACTCCAGTCTGCCATGTCCCTGCTTCGTTGACCGGTACTTCGAAGTTGCCGGTCACTCCCATCCAATCCTGTACCGCTTGCAATTTCTCTTTCCTTTCCTTGCAGCGAAATTGAGAGATGGAGAGGTACTCGTGGCAGCGGTGAACTGCCCAGACGATGCGGGCCTTGCGCTGCTGCGACGAGAGGCGGGCCTGGGGGGGCTGTATGTTTGCACGGGTCTTGTGGCCTTGTCGGTGCCGCAGTTCAATGGGATGAGACTCAGGTCAGTTCTCGTCTGAGCAACAGCACCACCAACGCTACCGATGATTGAAAATGAATCGCCAAATCTTTCATAGAGCGCGCTTTTGCATCGACCGTTGCAGTTGCCTAGCCTTGATATTGAGCTCAATGTCGATCATGATTGAGTTCGCAGCAGCATGAAGATTCAGCTGCAGTAGACTTTACTCCGCGTTGGCGGCCTGCATGATTAGATATACATTATGCTGGTTGCTTTTCAGTGGTGTCAGAGCGACAGCCATTTTTCCCCGAACAGCTTTCGCGATATGGGTGATATCAAAGGAAAACACGGATGGTTGCGAGGTGACTCATGCATGCTTTGCACTCCTGGCGCATAGCTAGCGAAGTCATTCGTCTCCCAGCTGGCCGCGGGATTGGATTCCTGTCGTGCTTGTTTGTTTTCCAGCCGGCTGGCTCTCTGCGAGCCTCTATTGGCCATTCCTGCTGTTGAATTTGTTCGCCTGCCAGACGCTGTTACTGCTGCTGCTGCTGCTGCTGCTGCTGCTGCTGCTGCTGCTGCTGCTGCTGCTGCTGTTTCTGCTGACGCCGAATTCATTTGTTTGGATGCTTTGCACGCGTCTCGCGCTGGCCCGCTCACAGAATCTGGGTCTATAGTGGTATGGTCTATGGTGGTATATTGTGACAGTCGGCGCCCCGCACTGAATCCTTCCCATCGGATAGCCATCGCGTTCTGAGATTAGTCTGCGCCTCATGACTGTGCGACATGAAACGAACGGGCAAGAGAGCGCCTGAGCTTCAGGCAGACGTTTGGCAACTGGAGTCTCCGTGGCCGTGCGCAACAACAGGCGCACAGAGAGATTCCGAAGGGTTGAACACACCACGGCAGACATTGCTCATTTACTCCTGGGCTGACGTTTAGTGCCGCCTTGGAGCTTGGAGTTGCCTGTTGAGCACTCCGAGATTCAAACACTTGCACTTGTTTTGTTGCTGGCCCGTGTTGGATGACTTTGCTATAGGCTCCTACAGCCCTCCCAGGATGGCGGCATTTGGCGCGCGTCTCCCATGGGGATTTCTTGCAATGCTCGCAGTCAGTGATGGCTCTGGGGCAGTCGCCTGGTCAGCACTTTGCACCTCTCTCGATGCATATGACAAGCTCTGATCACTCGTTGTGTGACATGATCGAGCGGCAGGGACCTATCATATGCTAGAGATGTAATCAGGCAAGGGTGCCCAGCCCTTTGATTCCTTTTGAACTGACGTTTGAGCTCAGGACGTCTGCCATAGGCACCCACGAGGTGGGCGTCTATGATGTGGCTCTGGAGCCAAGGCCGCTCACAGCGCAGCACGGCGAAGTCTGGTGAAATTCCGAAAGGACTAAACGGGCTACAAGAGATTGCAGTTTTAAGAGCTGCTGGATTCTTGTCATGGGCTGGCTTTAGTTGGGTTTTGTGCAGGGTCAAGGTGTCTCGCAGCTCGGCCAACAAAGGATTGGGAAGAATGAATTGCCCCACTGGTTGGTCTTGCTTCACCGCTTCTGTGCCGCTGGCAACCAAGGTGTCTTGGACACTGGGACTTTGTCACCGATGTTTGCACCATTTCCACGCAGGCAGGATTTTGTGTGCCTAGATACTCCTGACTCCTGTCGTCACGATCATAAACCAGCTCTTGGAATCATGACTTTTCTTCTTTGTAACGGGCACATACGATTCATAATGCGCATGTCCGGCTGCAGGCAGGAGCCGTACTTCAAGTCTGTGTTGGATGTTTTCTTCTTTACCCAATTGCATGCCGATGCGACTCCTGCAGACATTCGGGTCCGTGTCTCTGGACGGAATGCTGCTGCCTCTTGGCTGCATAGGCATAGGATCCCTTACTCATGTGGACAGGATTCACTAGAAGGTGCTCAGATATTTCTTGGAAAGCTACAACGTGGTTCAGTTCCTGTCACACGCTTCGGCAGCTTACTACAGCAGCCCTTGAACATCTCTAAACTATGACATCTTGCGGGAGCTGATCAAACAAAGCTAAGCCAACCAGCCTTCGCTCAGCTTGATACTCGTCAGAGCGGAGTCCGGAGTCTTCATGTACCTCGATGAAATCCAATGTGAGCGAGTCGCGCAAGTTTGGTGGCGAGGCTTTGGGACTTTCGCCAGGGCCTGACGCCCAGTGCCAAGGCGGGCTTCGGGGCAACTGCTCCAAAGGCGCTGCGCCAGCCTCAGAGCTTCCGGATGCCCAGCCGTTGACTCATTGGTTGCACACTTCAAAGGACTCTTGCCACACGCCCATTGTCCCCCCACACACATACATTATCAGATATGAACATGTACTACTACATTACACTATCACACTTTACATTTCGCTGCATCGCAGTACATTGCATACCATCACATACCATTATATGTCATTGCATACCATTGCATGTACATACCAGTTCAGACACACCATTGCAGCCACAAATGCACTACATCGCATAGCAGTGCAATGGATTACATTGCATTACATTGCATTGCGCAACATTCCATGACAAGGTATGAAATTAAGACGCATACCATTCCATTGACACATACCATTCCATTGATACATGTTTATATACACAGTACAGCGCCCTGCAGTGCATTCCATTGCGTTGATAAACCCGTTGCATTAAATACCATCGCATCACATCAACACATGCATCGCATTGCAACACATTACGCTATGCTTTGTTGATTGGTGGAACTAACTCGATTCCATAACATTGCATGTCATCACATGGCAACACATTGCATTGCGTGCTAGTACATTGATAGATGTATTGCAATAGGTCACGCTAAACTATGTTGCGTCACATCGCGCCACGTTGCGCTACGTCACATACATACATGCATACTTGGAGACATTCCATTTGGCGAGTGGATGCATGCAGACCTGCTACATGCCCACATGCATGCATACATGCGCAAACATGCACACATGCATGCACCTATGCGTCCGTGCATACATGTTTGCATGCATACTTGCCCACATGCACACATTCTATTGCACTGTTGCAGGAGCGGTCGAACGCATGTTATTTGGCTGTTCTGCCAATGCTCTCTCTCGCTCTCTCTCTCCCTCTCTCTCTCTCTGTCCCTCCCCTTTTGCATGCCTCCCGCCTCCCTTTGTGGCATCGAGGTGCTCCTTGGCTGCCTGCCGCGACCTGCTTCTTTGCGGCGGCCTGCAAGGTGAGCTCTGCCTGGAGCTCTAAGTTCGAGAGCGATTCTCAGAGGACTGAACTTGGCTTTCATCTCTTTCGTGGGTGCCCCTCGGTGACGGCGATGGAACTTTGAGGTTTCATGGTGGAATTCTTCGCAAACGTTTGCGGCGACTTAAAACCTTAAAGTACTGAGCAAACATGCAGCAAGTGCTGCAGAGAGCTGCAGTACAAGGCGCGATTAGTCGGATGTGGGAGCTCTAGCCGAGGCCTCTTCGACCTTAGACGCCTTGCAGAGCCGTGCCTAAGCCGACATCCAACGCTGAATTTTGGGCGTGCTTGAAAGCTGGTGAGGTGGGTGCTCTTGCCGGCTTTTGGAGCTTTATAATGTTAAAGTGGAACGAACTGTGTAAACACCTGATGACCTAAATGTGTCAAACCTGTGATGTGACAGCGCGGCACTTGTTGTATCTGCGGGCGAGGGCTGTAGCTCTATCAGTAGATAGGCTCAAGGCCTTGATGTACAAAGGCCAGGGTCATGTACAAGGATGGATGTACATTAACACCCCCTCTTGGATTGATGTAGGTTCTACAACAAGCCAAACACAGTTTTGTTCTCATGGGCCGAAGTGATGTAAAAGTTTGTTAGCAGCTCTGGCTGTTGCCCTGTGTACATCGATGCTTCTAGTGTGTCGAGCGTCTATACAAACTGTACTCACGTGGCCTGATGTCTGCAGGATGTAGATCCCAAAATCCGACGTGCCAAAAATTAGCAAATGTAGACTGGCTGTCTACACGGTTCTCTTGCGCTTCTTGTCCTCCTCGATGTTCTCCGTGGATGTGTCTGCTTTGTTGGGGCTCTTCCTGTACTCATTGATCTTCTCCATGTACTCAGGGTAGATCATGATGTTCCTCGATGCGAGGAAAGCCGCGTGATCGTTGTTTCCTCGCATCTGTTCCATGGGCTTAACAGCTGTGGTCGCGATCTTGTAATCTGAGCCGCATGTGCTCATCTTTGTGATTGTCCCCGCAGCATGCTGTGAGGACAGGTAGCTCAATGCAGAAAGCCCTGTATAATCAAGAGCTTGTGAACGTCCAGCGTAAATGGTGTCCTGGGTGTCAGCTGTGAGCAAATTGTCAAGGGACAGGATGGCGTTGTGGGAGTGCATGAAGCCTGCCTCCCAAGTGTACTGGTTGTAGATGTCAAAGAAACACGTACCATGTACCAAACGCCAAGCTGTAAGGCTGTCTCTCTCTGTTGGAGCTCAACAACCGTGTGCTGTTGCTGTAGATCTGCGTCTGCAGCAACATGTATCCCCTGTTGAATCCTCGGTGTGAGATCAAGAAGCTTTGTCAAGTCACAGTGCCGTGCCAGGATGTAGAGATCCGTGGTGTTAGCTGTAGCCAACTTGCCTTCACCCATCAGAAACAAAAATGTCATTACCGCATCGTGCGGGTTGGTTGGTTGTAAGGACTGTAAAATCGAATGACGGCTAACGAAGGTTGCCCGGGATGTATTCGATCTTTTTCAACGATGTCGCAGTTGTATCTCCCACAAAAGAGATGTACTCCTCAGTGGTGGTTGGCCAGCGAGAGGTTGTGCCACGCTGTACTGCCACGGTCTGTGCCCTTGATGTTGTCTGCCCTGACAAAGCCGATGTCAGCCACTGATGTGGTCATCCTGTCATTGTACCTTTCCGGCAAGAACGGGCATGTGCGATCATGGGCAGAGGTGTAATGGGCTGCGTGTCCATTGCGATGTATGCAACCTGATGTATCTCCAGACCAAACTGATGTAAACAAAATGGCTGCAGAAATGTGTCAAAGCATTGTTTGAGACATGTGCAAACTGCCATGCAAATTTAGCTCCCAAAAGGTGTTGGGTAAAAACTGTAGGGGTTGTAAAAGCGGGGTCGATCCATGGCCGATGTATCTGCCCCAAAAGATTGTCAATATGCCGGCTGTTATGTAGTAAGACAAACATGTGTGAACTGCGCACCTGTTGTTTAACAACCTGTGCTGACTACTGTACTCACTGGTGTGAAACTGTTGTGGTGTGGCCTCACAGGCCAACATTGTACAGGTGTTTGTTGAGTGTGCCGTAGCCAACAAACTTGGTAAGAATGTCGGCTGTGTTGTCTTCTGACTTTACCTTGTGCGTTGTGATGATTTTGCTCTTGACAAGGTGTTGTATGAGGAGGTGTCGCAGCTCGATGTGCTTTGCTTTCTTTGATGTACCTTCTCTCATTGCTACTGATTTTGCTGCGCTGCTGTCTGTGTGTGTCGTGATGTTGGTGCGTACTTCAAATGCTTCCTTGATGAAGTTGCTGATGTAGAGGCTCTCCTGTGCTGCTGTACCAATCGCGTACAGCTCTGATTCTGCTGATGAAAGTGCTATTGTTGCTTGTGTTCTGCTGCCATAGTGTACTGCTGCTCCAAAGAAGTACAGTACAAGTCCTGTTGTGCTGTTCCTTGTCTCACATGATGCCCAGTTGGCATCTGTGTAGGTTGTGTCGCGTGTACCTTTTTCCTTTGAGGTATCTGAGCATGTGCTTGAGCTTCTTGTTGTCAAGTTGTGTTGGTGCTTGTAGTGATCTAGTTGATGTCTGGCCGTGTGTACGCTAGCCATTGTATCTTGCCAACCAGCCGCCTGTGTCTCTTGTGCTGTTCTTGGTCTTGTGGTGCCTCATCTTCTGCTGTACCTTTCATGTGTGGTACTCCTGGTGATGGTGCTGGGTTGCATGTGTTCATTCCTGATTCTCCCAGGATGATGTCAACATAATTGTTGTTCAAGCTGATGTCAATGTAGCCGCCTTTGTGTGAGATGTTCCTGCCAAGGAAATGTATTGTTGATCCAACTGTTAGTCTCAGCAAGACTTCCTTTTGCATCCTGCTGCAGAGCGTGTTGATGATGCTCTGTACTCCTATGAAGAGGGGATCGTCTACATAGATCATGATGTCGACTTGACAGTCTTTTGATCTGTAGACATTGCTTTCTGTTGTGCATCTCACAAGTTCAAGTGTGACTGTGAGAATGTGTGCTATGTGATCTTGCCATTGTTTTGGTGATGATCGTAGGCCATAAATGGCTTTGTTCAGCCGCCGCATTATGTGTCTGTTTTCACCATTGTAGAACTCATGTGGTGGTCGCGTTACCAGGTTGTAGGAGATTGCTTCTGTGTTTAGAAATGCAACGCTGACATCTCCTGTGCTGACCGACCAGTTGTACACCAATGCCATTGCGAGGAGTATTCCTAGTATGCAAAACATTGATGTACTTGCAAACAAGAGGTCGTGGTCTGTAACTGGTTCTGTGTAGCCCTTTGCTACTATGCGTGCTCGTACTTCGTTGTGTTTCTGTTTGAGAACCCGTCTTGGCTCGATGATGTTTGCTTGTTGTTCTGGCCTCATTGTGTTACCCTCAATCTCTGTGAGGACTGATTGATCTGTGATTTGTTGTACTTCCTTCTTCATTCCTTGTGCCACCTGTTGTGGATCCAAGCCGTCTGTGTCGTGTATGACTGGCTCTCGCAGGATCCTTTCATTGCCGATTTCTTCTGTGTCTTCATTGGATGTTGTTTGCATTTGTTTACCATCCTTTGTTGTGAACTTGATGGCATTTATTCTCATTCTGCCCTTTGGCTGTTCTGATGTTGTGGGTCGCTCCAGTGCTTGTCTCTCTGCTGTTCTTGCTGTGGCGCGCTGTTGCTTGCCTGTACTGCCTTCTGCTATTGTGTCATCTCTTTCTCTTGTGGATGTAGGCGGTGGTGCTGGCAGTGCTGGCCGCTTCTGATGTGTTGGTGATGTAGCCATTGGTGATGTTGGCTCTGTTGTTCTCTTCTGCCTTGTTGGCTGATCGCCTGCTTCTGTTGCGCTCTGTCTCTTACCTTCTGCTGATTTGCTAGTTGTTGCATCTTTCTGTGATGGTGATGCCTTGCTTGTAGCTGGCGTGTCAATGGTGTTGCGAGAGTTGGTGTGTGCAGTGCTGACGCTGGTGTCTTCCATGGACCTGTGTACACAGTCCAGTAGTTGCTGATTGTATTTGTGAAGCGTTATCTGCTCTTCTGACTGTCCTTGCTCTGACAATCTTGTTGTAGATCCCAAGAAAGGATTCACCTGCGGTTGTACCCTTGCCAAGCCAGATCCCGTTGTAGAATTTTGGCTCGAGTTTTGGAAATTGTTTCACTGTTAGTAGCATGTGTTGCACGGTCTCACCAAAGTGGTGTATGTTGCTCTCTGTTCCATCTGTTGAAGTAGCTTGTGCATCCATTGCTGTGAACTGCGTACCTGTTCATGATGCATGCGCTGTGTCGAACAATCCAAGGCATGAGTGGATGTGTTATTGAACTGTCTCTGTTGTAGTTTTGTCTGATCTGCGCCTTGAGTGTTCTGATTTGTGCGAACAATGTTCGTGCGCTCGTTCTACTCGTCCTTGTGATTGTGAACTGTATGCTCCTGAGTTCCTTGTGGTGATGTTGCCATTCTTGTTGGCCACTGCTGTGGTGAGCGCTGTCAGGAAGACTTCCTGATCCGATTGTAGTATCGTGTGTGTTGTCCTTCCACATTCAATGAGCTGTAGCTGTGTAACTGCATAGTCGAAGAGCATTCTCTTGCCTGCCAGGTGTAGTGCCATGATCGTCCCAGACTGGATGTCAATTGCTGTGAGAATTGGATGTACGTTGCTATCATCAAAGCCTTTGATGTAGCCGAAGTCAAGCTGTATGAATGGAAGCTTGCTGCTGTCTGCCTCCTGCTTGTACGCATATTGGACACCAACTCTTGTAAGGGAGATGTGTCACGTTGAGCTCGAGTATCTGCTGTGGTGTTGGTTGCTTGGGTGCTTGTGCTGCTTTTGCTTTTGTACCCTGTTGTTGTCCCTCATCATCTGACTCAAGTTGTGTTGGGAACTCCTGATGTTCCTCAAAGTTTGTCCAGCCTGTCCAAGGCTTGTCTGATGTCTTTGCTGGCTGTGTTGTCCATTCATCTTCTATCAATCTTGCGTGTTGTCTTTCTCCTCCAACTGGTTGCACCTTGGTTTGTCTCCAAGGTATGAGTCGCTTGATGTCTGGCCCGTCGTGTGTTCAGGCTCAACATGTACTCTCTTCCAGTATGGGCCTTCTCTGTACCAGGAGTCTCCTCCAGGATGTACTTCTGAAGGATGTAGAATTCCTTGTCCAGCTGCACCTTTGGTGGCGTGTGGTGCTGCTGACTCCTGTAGTGTTGGTGGTGTGGTTTTCTCTCTCAATCTTGTTCGTGGGTTGTGGTGAATCACTTGTAGTGTGACCTTCTGTGGCTCGCTCCTTGGCTGTGTCTTTGTTGCAAACTGTTGCTGTAATGTTTCTGGCAATTTTGTGCCCTTCTTGATCCTGAATGCTGTTTCTCCTTTCCACATCTGTGGTTGTGCGTTGTTTGGATCTTCCATTGTTTGATACTTGTCCTCAAATGTATTTGTTGAACCTCGCAAACGTAAAACGGTATGACCATCTGTTGTCCACTGTGTTTTGTCACGCAAACCCACCTGTACCCGTGAAGCTTGATGTGCTGGTTGGTCGCTGTTCGAGTTGTGGTCCTGTGCCAGGTGCTAGTTGGTGTAGTGGGAATTGTGATGCAAACCATAGTGGGCGCACATGTGTAGCCGCACCGCTGTCAATCATGAGACTGACCCATTTGTTGTCTTCTGATGATTGTTGTGCTGTGCCAATCATGGCAATTGCTACTTCATGTAATCCTGAGAAGGGTACTGCTGATGGATCTGCCACCTGTGGTGGTTGTGGTAGCGCCAGTTGATGCATCTGTGACTGATCCTGATGATACCAGTTGTTGTCGTAGTGTCTGTCTGGTCATTGGTGTCGAAGGTTCCTGTGTCACAGTTGTAGATCGCCACTCTGCATTGTTTGGCCATGTGTCCTGGTTGTCCACATCTGTAGCAATCATTTGTTGCGTGTTTTTCTTTTGCCCCTTTTCCTCCTTGTTGGTTGTTGTAGTATCCTTTGCCTTTTCCTTTGTTGTTGTGTCCTTTTCCTTTGCCATATCCTTGTTGTCCTTTGAATGGATTTCCTTGTCCAACAGGTTGTTGATTGTACTTGCCTTTTCCTCCTTTGTAGTTGTTGTGGCTGTAGTTGTTCCCGTAGTTGCCGTAGCCTTTGCCTTTGTTGTACTTTCCTTTGCCCTTGTGCTTGCCCTTCTTTCCTTTTCCTTTGTTGTACCATGTCGCTCCTATGTCCATTGGTGCCGGCCCTTGGTTGTTGCTGCCTGATGTGGTTGATTGTAGTCTGGTGAATGATGCTGTTGCTATGTAGTACTCGATCACCATTGATGTTTCCTGCTTGAAGCTGTAGATGTGGCTGAAGTTGTCCTCTTGTCTCGTTGAGCGGTATTGCAATCTTGACTGCGTTTGGTAGTAGTGTGTTGGCCTGTTCATACCTGGAGATTTGAAACCCCATGTTGTGAAGCTCTCTTCGAACTTCTGTTCATCAAGTTGTGGTTTTAGCAGCCGTGTAAGATGCTCCTTGTACCAAGTGGTATGGAGTACCTTACATGTATCAGCCGCCGCGTTTCAATTCCGTTGCCTTGCATGTTTTGTTTGCAGATTGTAGATGCTGGTCATTCGCATGTGCTCACCAAGAGGTAGTGTAGATTGTTGCTAAGTTGTACCCATTGCTCTGCTACTGCTTGTGAAGGTGCTGCGTTCTCCAGTTGGTCGTTTGTAGCTTGTCCTGCTGATTGCTCTGACTGTTGCAGCAGTCTGTTGTATGCTGGGTCTTGTAATCCCAAGTATGCTGTCATCTTGTACTTCCATTCTTTGAAGGTGTTGTATTCTCCTGTGAACCGTGGTGGTGACATCTTGTTGCTGTTCTGGTTGTTGTTGTTGTGCCATGTTGCTCAGTACTGTGTACCTGAACCTGTGGGTGTGTGATGGAGCTTACCCTGGGTTGTGGTCGTGGATCGTGTACCAGGGATCACTGCTCCGCTACCATGTTAAAGTGGAACTAACTGTGTAAACACCTGATGACCTAAATGTGTCAAGCCTGTGATGTGACAGCGCGGCACTTGTTGTATCTGCGGGCGAGGGCTGTAGCTCTATCAGTAGATGGGCTCAAGGCCTTGATGTACAAAGGCCAGGGTCGTGTACAAGGATGGATGTACATCAACATATAACTGAATATATACATATATATATATATAGAAAAGTATTGCAGGTGGCAACACTGGCCCATGCTTTGTCTCAGTTCCTTGCAACATCTTGCATTGCTTTTTCAGCGCGCAAACCATGTTGCTCAGCCGTACCGCTGTCGCGCTCGAGCCCCGATGCCAACAGAGGCTGCACCCAGGTCAGGTAGTCCAGGAGTAGGCCTTCGAGGTTTAGGTTTTGCGAGGCAAATTGCATTCGGTAAGCGGATAACCACATTCTGGGAACATACCTTTGGGCTGAGTGAGAGACTATGCACGTTGATGATGTAGCTGCAGTTAGGAAGTGAAGCCCGAGCTTGGACCATCCTAGGTTGGCACGCCCTCCTGCAGCAAGTGGTGCCGTGGTGCCGTGGCGGAGGATTGGCAGATAGTTTGCAGAGTACTTCCACCGAGCACTAAGTTGAGCATGACCTCATCTCTCTCTCTCTCACACATGTGTGTCAACGAGTTGCTTATCAAGTCCCACCAAGGCCGCACTTTGCGAGCCGGAAGATTGCAGCATTCTCCCACTGGTCAACTTGTCAAGCCCGAGGTTCGCTTGCGGCTTTGGCCTAGCACGGCGCAGACGCTGGTGGCTGCTGTGGCGGGGGTGCCCAGCCTTGCGATAAACATAATAGTTTGTTTTGAGCGAGGATCTTGTCCATAGAATCCCGTGCTTTCTGTTTGCCATAGAAAGAGAGGCGCGAGGCCACACCTAGGAGCATGTTGCGCATGCCAGCCACATGCGAGCGGATGTAGAGAAAGGTTTGCAATCTTTTACTCTAGCAAACAGGCTGACATTGGGCGCAGTCACTGGAACTATCGCCAGGAAACAGGGTTCGCTCCACTATCAATGTCAGTTAGGGGCACAAGTAACATTGACCAACCTGTTGTGGCCGGGTAGAGGTACGGCCGGGGAGCCCCACGTCATAGAGTGATTTCCTTCCCCATTATTGTCAACAGTCAGGGCTGGCCACAACGCTAATGCTCCCCAGTGGACAGGATCGTGCGCCTTTAAACAACGGACGATATGGGCCCAGGCTCACATGATGCACATGGCCTCAGCACCTGCCAGTTGTGCACTGCCATTTCACTTAGCCCAGGCTTGCGCCAAAGACGGCCTTTGCTCGCTGACGGCGCCCTGGGTGGACCCTATCACAAGTACAACTTCTGCTATCCAAGATACATGATTTGCTTGAATACCATGCAATTTCTGCTATCGGGCAAAGGTATTTGCTTGGATGCGATGCATTGTGAACCATGCAGTTCTGGTATATTTTCTGAGAGTTGATTGTCAGATTGAGAACCAGTGCAGTCACTCTTTCGGAACTGATCCTCATGCACTCACTCACTCACTCACTCACTCCCTCCCTCCCTCCCTCACTCACTCACTCACTCACTCACTCACTCACTCACTCACTCACTCACTCACTCACTCACTCACTCACTCAATGACTCACTCACTGACTCACTCACTCACTCACTCACTCACCCACGCACGCACGCACGCACGCACGCACGCACGCACGCACTCACGCACTCACTCACGCACGCACTCACTCACTCACTCACTCACTCACTCACTCACTCACTCACTCACTCACTCACTCACTCACTCACTCACTCACTCACTCACTCACTCACTCACTCACTCACTCACTCACTCACTCACTCACTCACTCACTCACTCACTCACTCACACTCACTCACTCACTCACTCACTCACTCACTCACTCACTCACTCACTCACTCACTCACTCACTCACTCACTCACTCACTCACTCACTCACTCACTCACTCACTCACTCACTCACTCACTCACTCACGTGGGTGAGTGAGTGAGTGAGTTAGTGAGTGAGTGAGTGAGTGAGTGAGTGAGTGGGTGAGTGGGTGAGTGGGTGAGTGGGTGAGTGGGTGAGTGGGTGAGTGGGTGAGTGGGTGAGTGGGTGAGTGGGTGAGTGGGTGAGTGGGTGGGTGGGTGAGTGGGTGAGTGAGTGAGTGAGTGAGTGAGTGAGTGGGTGGGTGGGTGGGTGGGTGGGTGGGTGCAGTCCACTCCACTCCACTCCACTCCACTCCACTCCACTCCACTCCACTCCACTCCACTCCACTCCACTCCACTCCACTCCACTCCACACTCCACTCCACTCCACTCCACACTCCACTCCACTCCACTCCACTCCACTCCACTCCACTCCACTCCACTCCACTCCACTCCACTCCACTCCACTCCACTCCACTCCACTCCACTCCACCTCCACTCCACTCCACTCCACTCCACTCCACTCCACTCCACTCCACTCCACTCCACTCCACTCCACTCCACTCCACTCCACTCCACTCCACTCCACTCACTCCACTCACTCCACTCACTCCACTCACTCCACTCACTCCACTCACTCCACTCACTCCACTCACTCCACTCACTCCACTCACTCCACTCACTCCACTCACTCCACTCACTCCACTCACTCCACTCCACTCACTCCAGTCACTCCACTCACTCCACTCACTCCACTCACTCCACTCACTCCACTCACGCACTCACGCACTCACCCACGCACACCACCCACCCACCCACACACCCACCCACCCACCCTGGAGTGGAGTGGAGTGGAGTGGAGTGGAGTGGCGTGGAGTGGAGTGGAGTGGAGTGGAGTGGGGAGTGGAGAGTGGAGAGTGGAGAGTGGAGAGTGGAGAGTGGAGAGTGGAGAGTGCGGAGTGGAGAGTGGAGAGTGGAGAGTGGAGAGTGGAGTGTGGAGTGTGGAGTGTGGAGTGTGGAGTGGAGTGGAGTGGAGTGGAGTGGAGTGGAGTGGAGTGGAGTGGAGTGGAGTGGAGTGGAGTGGAGTGGAGTGGAGTGGAGTGG